AAACTGCTGCGAGATTTTTTAAGGGTTCATGGCAGGAATTGGAGGACACTGCGAATGCTGGAGCTGGAAGCATGTGATACAAGCAGAGCGGCATTGGACATGTAAGTATTGTCATGAGATTCACACTGGGGGAGCGGAGCGAGTGCGAGCACATCTTGCTGGAGTTTGGGCAAGAGGTGTGAAAACGTGCAAGGCAATGAGGGAGATCCCTTATGAAGTTCTGAAGAAACCCTAAAGAAACCCTAAAGAAACTTTTGTCTCTTTTCGCAAATAGTGCAAACGCGTTGGGAGTTTAGAACGGCGTTTTTTAACGCGTTTAAAACATTACGTTTTTTTAGTTTCATACGGTTTCCGGCAACTATGCTCCCAATCCTCGTTGCATTTCCGAGCAGAGCACGTCGATCTGCCAAATGCACCTGCACAGGCGGATGCCGGCAGATTTGTTCCCCGCGTAAGTCTGGAAGGCGTCGAGCCTGTTCTCGCTGATCATCAAGCACAACTATGGCGACACAGAGAAAGCCATGCAAACGGAGAAACAAACACAACCTCGTTGTAATAGGCTGGGACTTTCAGCCGCTTAGGATTGTTATCCAGTGCCGTTCCCAGGACTTCTTCTGGAGCAGTCCAAAAATGAACGTGTTAAGAGTTTTTTCTAGTGTCTAAATCAAAGGAACTCACTCAAAGGTGTTGGATAAGGAACAAATGTAGGTTGCGGCTTTTGGTAGAAGGTTTTTGGTCCCTCGCCAGGCTCGATGCCGCTGTTGCTGCAATTGGCCAGAATATCTTGGTCATCCTGGAACATCTCAAGTTAGAATCTCAGGGACAACGATAGGGGGGTTGAGACTCTTTTACCAGATGATATTCTGAGTTGAGTACTTTTTCCATAAATGCGACTCGTTTCTTCACGAACTCAATAATTCTCCTGTTGAAGAACGTTTTGGCATGGGTTAAATGATTGTCATTTTCCAGCACATGGCCATTAACCATGGTATCCTGAGCTTTTGAACTCGAGAATGAACCAACCGGTGGCAGCTTCAGTTCTTCAGGTACGGCTGACTGTAGCCTTCTAAATCATTCCATGGTTCTTTGAATGGTCCACCAGGAAAGTATGATCTGAAATCAACTACTGAGGTGCTCTGCAATGAGGACACACACACACACAGACAGACACACACACAGAGAGAGAGAGAGAGAGAGAGAGAGAGAGAGAGAGAGAGAGAGAGAGTTCTTGCTCTCCTTATGGTCACGTGCCCTAAAAGACATTTGCCATTTTTTTATGGTTCCAAAAGTCATAATTTTACATTGTCTAATCTTAACCGTTAAATTTTAGGATATGCCCAGAATAAATCTCCCCAAATCTCTCCATCCCATAGCTCAAACAATGACTTGTAAGGACTGGTAGTGAAATTACACAAAGCATCCCACATACCAAGCCTTTCCTGTGCGATGGTCTCAATTCGTTTATGGTCCTCGTCTGCCAAGCTGAAATCGAAGCTGTTAATGAAGCTGAAATCGAAGCTGTTAATGTTTTCCAGCAGTGTCTGGGAGTTGTAGCTCTTGACAACGGGAGCTACATGGATTTCCGTGAGCCATCGTATGATCGCCTGTACGCATGGATGAATGAAACTTAAGAAAAATATGTACCTGAGCAGGAGATTTGTGGTGCTTTAGAGCGATTTCCTGGATAACAGGATGCTCTAGTACGGATTTGCTTCCCCAAGGCTTGCCAAGACCACCTAGAGGTGACCAAGCAATCACCTGGACACAATTTCTCTTGCACAAGTCTGTCAACTGCCCTTGCTGCCACAATGGATGTAACTCAACCTTGAAGAGTGACAACACAACTTGGTAGAAGTTTTCTTGAAGATCATGGTGTTACCTGATCCACTGCAGGAGTGATCTTTGCAAGTTGAAGCAAGTCGTGCAGCTTTTTCGTGCTAAAGTTACTCACACCGATTGCCTTGGCCAGCCCCTTTCGAAAGCATTCTTCCATGGCTTCCCACGTAGCCGGGATGTCCACAGGTAAGAAATCTTGCTTTGCTCTCTCTGGAAAATTCTCCAAAGTTCGTGGTCTCTCGCAGTTTAACTACCTGGATCTGTCGACACTACCTACATACATACGTACACACTACAAGTACCTTGTACATAGTTTTCTCCTCCAATGCTTGTCTTGTTTGCGCTATAAGCTCTTATAACTTTCCTGTGTTGCTACAAAAGCTTCGAGCACTGATAGATTCGTTGGAGCCTTCCTGTGTTCTTTCCATCGGTACAAACGCTCCGAGCATTGATAGATTCGTTCAAGAGATCTATATCACTTGTGAGGATCCGAAAGAGAAGGAATCGAATGCCGCACACTCACCTTGTTCCGTCCCAGCTTCTTTTTCTTCCTCGCCATCTCCTTTCTAGTGTGCTCGTCCAGGCCGCTTCCCTCGAACTCAAACCAGGTATAGTCCTTGAAAGCTCGGCTCATGAGCATCTTCCTCTTGTTGTCGATCTTTCGCTTGCGGCCGGAGAGATCAAACGCCTCCGGGAGCTTCCCCGCAAGCTTTGGAGATCGAGCGAGCTTTCGCTCCTCTCCTCCCTCTTTGGATGCAGCATTGCTGGCGGTACTCGCCCTCCTCAGCCTGGCCCTGTAAGCGCGCTCGTCCTCGTCGAAACCCGAGAAGACTGGCGCGTGGGTGAAGTCGCGGGCCTCCTTGAATCGATGGAGCGCCATGCTGCGGAAGCAATTGTCGCTGATGTAGTCCTCCTCCTGGAACCCCCGATCGCTGAAGTCCCTGCGCGTGAATCCCTTGTCAGCGAACCATCGCCGAGGCAAGTGGAGCGATCGGAGCTGCCTCAACAAGCCGCCCACAGCCGCCTTACCTCCACCTCCTCGCAGCATTCTCTCATAAAAGGCTACATTGGAGCAGCAAAAACATTTATATAGGAATCGATAGCCCTAAATTCTAGGAATATGCTCAGGTATGCAGCACTTTGGAAAGGGCCTGGTTCCCTCCAACACCTTGACGAAAGTGTGGACGTCGCCCCACAGGCCCAGCCCACATTGCATGACCAGCATCCACAGGATAATCCCCAGGCAAACGCTCAAATCCACCGCCCAGCCCAGCCTCGACAGGGATTTGGAGCCTCCCTGCCACAAGAGACGAAGAGCGGCTTGATCCCATGAATTTGTTGCGGACATGGGAGAATGAAAAGTGATGAGAGACTATCTTCTTCACTTACCGTGTTCCATCCAAACGCATCTAGGACGAAAGACTCACGTGGTCCCCGTATCTTGGTGTCCATACCTCCTCTGAAGGTATAAACACTTGGGAGAGGGTCTCGTGACTCGGTGGGAGCAGGGCCTCTCGAGTCTTCTCTTTAGAAGTTTCTACATGACTTAAATGGAGCTCGAGGGGATGGAGCTTTGATAGGACTTTCACTGACCTTTCAGCGAGAATCAAGGGATAAACTCTTTAAGGTTTCTCGTTTGACCATGACTTTGGCATTTTTTTATAAGGGCCTTCGTCTGAGCGGGATGTCGAGATAGATATGGAGCACCAAGCTCTTGAGGTGGAGGGGCAGAGCCTCGATCAAAATGATCAATCACAAAACAAGCTACAAAGGAGCTCATTCCTACATGCAACATTCAACAGTGTCAGTGCCATACTTGGTGAGTGATAAATCGTGATTGACGGCTTTGAGAAGCTTCAAGCAAGCTGCCTTTATTCTTTGCAGGGATTTCTTTCCTCACCACACCCTACGCTCTCGAGCAAGGTGGCTGGCTGGGTTTGAGCATCCTGTTCGCGTTTTCAGTGATATGCTGCTATACTGCCTATGTTCTTGGTCGCTGCCTCACCCCAAATGGATCATACAACACAATTGCCGAGACTGCCTTCGGTTCCAGAGCTCGCCTTCCCTTCACCTTGCTGGTTCAATTCGAGATGATAGCAGTGTTGGTGGGCTACACGATTTCCATGGGTGACAATCTTGCCAGGCTATTCCCTCATGCTACTCTTCGGATCTCAGCTCTTGAGATTGGCCCTTCCAAGGTGCTGCTTTTCATAGCGTTCCTCGTTGTTCTTCCAACAGTCTGGCTGAGAAACTTGGCATGGATATCGTATCTATCTCTATTTGGTATTGTTACGTACATGATCATCACGGTTACGATGATTTATGCCGGAGCTGGATTAGGTATCGGGTTTCACCACTCCGTTCCACACTTGAGACCGGAAAACTTGCTCAACATCGCGGGAATCTATGCCTACTGTTTTGCGGCTCACTGTGCTCTTCCTAGTGTTTATACGTCGCTCAAGAATCCCTCCAACTATGCAAAGGTTTTATTTTTATCGACTGACATGGAGATGTAAAACTAAACTTCGTACTGGACTTCTAGGTGTTGGTTCTCAGTTTTATGATCGCCACGATGATATACATTGGATTCGCGTTTCTAGGAGGAACCATGTTTGGGGACTATACACTTCCGCAAGTATCTCTAAATATTCCCACACACTTGGTTGCTGCCAAGCTTGTGCTATGGATGGTTGTTCTCCTTCCATTCAGCAAGTATTCGCTATGCCTTGCTCCCATAGCTCTCGATATTGAGAGCAAATTCCCGTGGCCCAATACTTCGAGATCCTTTGTGGCATCCAGCCTGCTTCTCAGGACCGGTCTCCTGATCTTCGTTTTTTTGTTGGCTATGGTTTTTCCATACTTCGAAACCATGGTGGCATTTATAGGCTCTGCCTCAGGCATGCTCGTAGCGGTGACCCTTCCTTCGTTATTTTACTTGAGAATATACAGAAACGTGATGCCAAAGTGGGAGGCCGGAGTCAACTATGCCATCTTGGCTGTGGGAACTGCAGTGGGCATGGCTGGAACCATCGCGTCCATCATCAATTTTGTGCACCGCATAAGATCATGATCACCATCCAGGTAACTCTTCATTTGAAGAATCTTCAAATAAAAAGATGACAGCGTTATATAGCTTATGATGGCATTCAAATCTCTCCATCCCATAGCTCAAACGGTGACTTGTAAGGACTGGTAGTGAAAATCCTTTCCTGTGCGATGCTCTCGAATCGTTTATGGTCACCGCCTGCCAAGCTGAAATCGAAGCTATTAATGTTTTCCAGCAGTCTCTGGGAGTTGTAGCTCTTGACAACGGGAGCTACATGGATTTCCGTGAGCCATCGTATGATCACCTGTACGCATGGATGAATGAAACTTAACGGGAATCAAGAAAACCATGTACCTGA